AAGATTTAGGTCTACATTTTTCATGCAGCTTTTAATATATGATTATAAAAATGTTGATTTTTAATTAGCTTGATTTTGAGCTTGAATTTCACATCAAGATCCAATATATACATAATTTACTTTGTTTAAAGTGAAAAAAAAAATGAAATTTCTGTCATCATTTACTCACCCTCACGTTGTCCTACCTGGTATGACTTTCTTTTTTTCTGCGGAGCACAATATTCAGTGTTATTTTAGTATCATTGTGAGACTATTATAGTTTTTGTTTTCTTTTATTATTATTATGCAAGTAAGGAATGTGACAAAATTTACAAGTGCCAAATACAGAATCACTTGGACAAACAAACATGTATACAGATAGCTAACATTTCAAGATCATTCTGATAACTCCTGTATATGTATTCTTGTGATTGTGAGCATGTGTGTGTGTTTCATTGTATGTAAGTGTGTGGGAGGAAGCATACAAATCATTGAGTATCTAACAGATTTATAACAGATATAACAAGTATAACTACAAAAAAAAAATAATAATAATAATGATTTCATTAAGATTAGGAAAGGGTGGAGGACAGTGAAGGATGCAAGTAATAGTAATGACTATTATATTTATAAGACTATTATAGTTTATTAATATTTTAAATTAAATTTTATTTTATATGTTCAGTTTTAATTTTAGTTAAATTTTTCATAATTTCTTTGGAGTTTTTTTTTTGTCATTTTTAGTAGTTTTAGTTTTTTTATGTCTAGATTATTTATATTATTTTATTTAAGTTTTACTTTTAGCTATTTTAGTACACCAAGTTAAACTACATTAAAATGAGAATTTTTTTATGGTTTTAGTTTTAGTAAACTATAATAACCCTGTCTCAAACTTAATCTTTCTCTCAAATAAGCAAGTAATTTGACCAGATTATTGAGTCTGTGTTTTGAACTCGAACAATTCAGTCTGAACGAATGATTAGGACTAGTTATGTGAAGTAGATTAAGTGATTATTTGAAAAGATTTGATTCAAATAATTAAATCATGAACTAAGTCATAATATTTATATTATCCTTTTTGCACCGTTTTTAATTGTAACGGCACTGAAAAGGACATTACTCAAAATTAGTTTTTGTGTTTTACAGTAGAAACTTGCACAGGTTTGAAGTAAATGACGACAGATTTTTTTGGGCCAAACTGTCCCTTTAAAGTACATTGTCTGAATTTGAAACAAGCATTTGGCCGATATTCTTCAGTTGGATCGCTACGTGTCGGACCCTGCAATGAACCGGATGTGTTTAATGGCTGAGGCTTTCTGCCTGTATTAAATGGCTGAATGTGTGTACAGGGAGTCATATTCTTACAGCGTGAAGAAGACATCAAACATTGCTCTGAAAGGACTGTAAATCATTTGTGCTCGGAGGCAAAGCTACTTCAAGTGTTACATCATTTGCGCCGCCAATAAACATCTGTTAGAAAAAGCCTCACTTTCCCTTGCCAGAGAATGGAGGAAAATATTCTTTCACTAGCACCCTCCCTTTTATACTGTCCCTCAGAGAACGGTAAAGCTGTGACAGCTGTCCGTCATATGTTCTCTTTTCTCTTTCACTCTGTCTTCCCTGATCTCCCTTGAATTCTCTCTCTCTCTCTCTCTCTCTCTCGCTGATATCATTTGAGACTTACAAGCACACAAGAGTTTGTTTAACTTTTAAACTCTCTACGGGCTCTAATGTCTGAGAAATGGCCTTGTGCTGTGACAGAAAGAAGATTTATTCTGACTGCTGGTCTGTTTCAAACAGTCGCATCCCAAAACAAGATTCCTGTCTTTTTAGTACTCATATTTAAAGGGTTAGTGCAGCCTAAAAGGAATATCTGATCATCATTTATTAATGACGCTCCCAAACCTGGACGGATTTCTTTCTTTCTTGGAACACAAAAGGAGAAGGTTAGCAGTCTCAGGTGTTCTTTTCCATATAATGAAAGAATGAAACTGAAGCACTGTTGAGCTAGACAAAAATAAATAAAATAAAATAAAATAGTCAGATTAAATCAAATGTATATTACATTTAACTTTAAAGAAAAACAACATCTGGATATAATTCCCATATCAATTATTTTAAATTAATTTGAGGGATGGTGGTACCTGGACTTTCCTTTGGGCTGTTTGCAAAAACACAGCACAACTATTTTGTCTTGACAACAAGAAGACGCAACATTAAATATGTATGCCAAGCTTGGACCAAGCTCATGTCAATTTTATAAAAGAGGGAATGTTGTGCATTTTGGCATGGACATAGTTTGTCCCTGATGGTCCTACAACCTCACAGGTGGAGCTCAGATTGCCTTTGTTTTTTAAAATTGTGTTTAATTCTTTAAACGCCCCATGAATTATATATTTTGCACATTTGTCTTTTGGTTTTAGAATGCTCTGTAACTATATGGCATATTTAGAAACATTTAGTAGTAAATTGATGTAGGTCAATGAACCTCTCAAACAGAATATGCACATGCATGCTATAATTATCAAAACAAACAAACAAATGTACTGATTTCACATTAACATGCAAAACAATTTGAAAATTGAAAAGTGTGTGTACATTAGTGCTGTCAAAATTAGCATGTTAACACAGGCGATTAATTTTGCGTTAGAAAAATATTTAATGCAATCAACGCAGGGGCGGAGCTAGGGTTGGCCGCACAACTGCTGCTTCTGTCTCTTTTTTCTTGACAAGAATTGTGTTTATTTAGAAGCAGAACGTCTTTACAACCACATGAAATGGGAGACTTTTCAGATGTGCACTCCACTTCGCCTCAGCGCCAGGCGCGAGTCAAACAAGCGCGGAAAAGCTACAGGTGACGAGGGAGCTTCGTTTGTCAGTAAAAATTAATTTTCCTCTCTTGTCAGCCTTTATACTGTGTTCGTAGAGCATGCTCTTCAATTGCACACACAAATATGGCAGCGCGCGCTGTAGCCTCTATCATTTCATATTAAAGCGTGAATGAAACTATGAGCATACGTGTCAGATCCGCGTCACATTCAGCAGCGGCAGCTCTTAAAGTAATAGCAGCCAAATAACCTAATAACCCAGCTGCTGTGATGTCTGTTAATCAAAGAACAAAAGAAAAAAGAGGGAATCAATAACTTTTGTAGCTTTAAGGATTCATCTTTATTTAGTTTAGAATTTAGTGATGATAACTTTATTCATATTTCCTACTTGCTGAAGGACACAGGTAAATATGACTTTTATTATAATGGGTTTATGTGAAGATTGTTTTAAGTTCACTTAAATTAGAAGTTGTTCTTTTTATATTTAAAGTGTAATAAATGTTAAAATTGATAACTCTCAATTATACTGTAATGTTGAATGGCTATTCAGTGGTTAAATATTATGGAAAAAGAACAATTTCCTAGAGACATCAGTAGTACTGGTATTAGTGATACTCGCCATCAGTCATAAAAAAAGATGCCATTAAACAAATATTAAAAATATACTTTATGTTATGTCTTTATGTTGTTTCTACATTAATTTGAATATTGAATGTGAAATTATTGCAATATAAAAGTATATATGTGGGATAAATTGCGATTAACCGCTGCAAGTTCAAACCTCGCTAGATGCATTTTATTGAACTATCAGCGTTGTTGCATGAGCAAGACACTTTACCCCAGATTACTTTTGGGGGGGCTGATCCTGTTAAAAACATACTAAAAGTCACTTAAAACATCAGCTAAATGGAAAAACAAGTAATATGCAAAAAGTTTTGCTGTGTGTTACATCACCAGTTTAATCTGCGCTCCAGAAACTTCTTCCGTCTGTGGGAGTGCTACAAACCCGACTCAATCAGCAACCTGTGGTGTTCACTTGAGCGAAACAGCCCAGCTGCACAGCACATAAACACTAGCTGCCACATGCTGGAAAGTCACTGGGCTCTTGTTTTTATCAGGAGGCATGAATTTGTGCTGGCATGTGACATGAAATACAATTGGCAATGAAAAATAAGGGCCATTTTCAGAGCGCAAAAATAAGGGCCATCTAAAGCCGCTGACCCTCGGCCCGCTAATGCCATTACGGCCCATAAACCGCCACTGGGGTTGAGGGAGGCCATTTTGTCAGGGCCTAAACCCCCCCAGAGGAGGGAGATAAATAATTGAGGGTTGCATTCTGCACTTGGGCTGAATTTGAAGCGAACGGGCCTTATGAGGCTCTAAATGGTGGAGTGGAGTGCTGTACATCATTAATCCACTGCTTTTATCCTCTTTGGTTCAGGTCAGTGTCCTGAAGGCACTAGAGAGCAGTGGGAAGAGAGAGTGAGAGCGGCATGGACAAACAGATTAGACTCTTTTCTTCCTCTTCAAGATACGACAGAGCTAGAATGCAAAGCACAAGAGAAAAATCACATGAAAAGTATTACAACTGCCCTTGCTGACTTGTAATGGAAACGAGATGAACAGCTATTTTTCCTAAGAGAGGACTATCTTAAAAACCAGCATGAGCAGAAACTTATTTTGGTGTTTTTGGCAGATACGCTGTCTTTTTGCAGTTTTACTCAATAATTTGTCTTGTCAGTAACTCCGCTACAAAAGAAAAGCAGAACCTATATTAACCTATATTAAAGCAGAGAGGGTCTAGGGTCATGTGATGTTGGGGTCAGTGCTTGATTGTCTAATGGAGTCTCGATTGGCACTAAGAGCCTGTGAGAAAAGCATTCATCTTCTCAGAAATGAACAGAGGTCAAACGATGAGAACAACTCTAGTGTTGGATGCTGTTTTGGAGTTGGATTCAGCTTTGCCATCAGGAATAAATTACATTTTAAAATATAGAAAACAGTTCTTTTAAATGAATAATATTTCACAATATTATTGTTTTTACTGTATTTTTGATCAATAAATGCAGTATTGGTGAGCATAAGGAGACTCGTTTAACAAAAAATCATAATTATTCCAAACTTTTAACAAGTAGTACCGTAACTGCTGCAATAATTACATCAACTTATCTTTCTCCATTTCTTTCCCCATAGGGACCTAATGCCTAAAACCCTGGAGGGCCAGATCACCATGGAGAAAACACCAAGCTACTTTGTGACCCGCGAGGCTCCGGCCCGGATCTACGCCATGTCCCGCGACACCAAGCTGATCGTGGTGGTCCGGGACCCCGTCACACGAGCCATCTCTGACTACACGCAGACACTGTCCAAGAAGCCTGACATTCCTACTTTTGAGAGCCTGACGTTCAAAAACAGGACTACAGGGTTGATCGACACCTCGTGGAGCGCCATTCAGATCGGCATCTACGCCAAACACCTGGACAACTGGCTGCAGTTCTTCCCCATGAGCCAGATCCTGTTCGTGAGCGGAGAGCGGCTGATCAGTGACCCGGCCGGAGAGCTGGGCCGCGTGCAGGACTTTTTGGGGCTCAAGAGGATCATCACAGACAAACACTTCTACTTCAACCAGACCAAGGGCTTCCCTTGTCTCAAAAAGGCCGAGGGCAGCAGCAAGCCCCATTGCCTGGGTAAAACCAAAGGGCGGATCCATCCAAACATTGACCCTGAGGTCGTGCAGCGACTTAGAGACTTCTACAGACCTTTCAACATGAAGTTCTACCAGATGACTGGCAGGAAATTTGGATGGGATGACTGATAGTAGACAGTGAAATAGACCTTGGATTTTGAAACAAGGGAGAAACAACCTTACTGTGACCTCACCAGCAACAAAACTATGATAACCCCCAAAGTGGTCCAATCTGGTTGTGGAAAATGATAGAAAAGTCCACATCCAACTCAAGTTAGGCACAGAACACTATGAACAAATGTCAAAAACAAGAGTAAATGTCCTCAAACTGCTATTACAGTTCCAGATTCTATTCCATTTCAAATTCAAAAGTGACATTTTGACCTCTTCTATGTTCATCAGGCAAAAAGATGAGGATTATACATTGCCTTTGTTGATTAAAACAATACTCATTTTTTACCCAATCAGACTTTAGCCATGTTTCTCATTTAAACAGCCATATACTGTACTGTAAGAGGACCTAGAAGAGACACCTGAAAGCTGAAGAGATCCACTCTAGAACTATGCATTTGGACGTTGAACTGTGAATTATACACTGCGTCAGGACTTGGAGATCAGATGAGTTCTTTTGCCATATTTAATGTAGAAAGACTAGCTGCTTATATACCTTTACAATTATTTGGAAGAAAATATCAAAAGAATAAAAATGTGTATTTTTTGAAGCTTATTTATTTAAAAAATATGTACACATATACAGTTTAACTATTTTGAATAATGTTCATTAAACACCTGCCTTTACTTTTTTTGCACGTGGAGGGTGGGTGATTTCTTTTGTATTTTGAACCATATAACACAATGCCTTTTCTAAAACGTTTCATGCGGTCAGAAGTTTAAATGTGCACATTTAAATGTTTACCATCCTATTCACTGAGAGCAATGTTATCTCAAAAATGTTTCTTATATTAATGGATCAAAGACAATAACAGTATGGCCAAAGCAGTAAACATGCAGAACATGACGTAATTTCCCCCCAGGTTTGGGTTTTTGGTTTTACAGAACAAATGAATGAAAGTCCAATTAGTGATTTGATTGGATGGCAAACTTTTAAGAGTCCATTTCAAGTTGTGTCTCTATTATGTGTGTGTGATAAAGAGAGTGAGTATGAGAAAGACTCTGTTACAAAGCAGCAGTGACATTCAATCAGTGTTTCCCCATTTAAAGGTGATTTGTGTAATTGTACAATGTTAAAATGTTTTAAAATCCCACATTTAAATGAGCCATCAAAAGGCTGTTTTTTTTTGCTCAGAAAGTTTAAGGTGCGTGAACCTGTTTGGAAACTTAAAAGCAGTCTTTTTTTTTTTTGCATTACATGCATCACCTTTAGGTTCAGTGTGAGTGAATTTATTTTTTTCCTTTGCAATATTATCAGTGACATTATGCTTTTATAGTTCTGTTTATTTAATTTGAATAATGAATTTTATAAAGCACATTTTTAATAAAAACATTTTTAAAATTAATTTTCAGACTGTGATTGTATTTGCATTAAAGGAATAGTTCACCCAAAAATAAACATTCGCTGAAAATGTACTCATCTTCAGGCCATCCATGTAGATGAGTTTGTTTCTTCATGGATACAGATTTGGGGAAATGTATTATTATATCACTTGCTCACCAATGGATCCTCTGCAGTGAATGGGTGCCGTCAGAAAGAAAGTCCAAATAGCTGATAAAAACATCAAAATAATCCACAAGTAATCCACACCACTCCACTTTAATGTCTTTAAGTAAAAGTAAAAAAAAAATGCATCAAGTTGATTTAATTTTAAAATGTTGCTTCTGACTAAAATACAAGATTATTATACATAACACTTCCTCCAGTGAAAAAAAATCCATTTCCTGTTGTCCTCACACATCAAAATCCACCAAAATATTTATTTAGAACCGTTTTGGACTGTTTTTTTGCTTGTAAACGATTCTTGATCTGTTCATATTTCTCTCCTGATCTAGATGAGATTACTTTTTCACTGGAAATTTTAGCCAGAAAAAATGTCTTAATGAATTTGTTTACACACAGCTTTTTACTTTTCAAGTTGTCAATTGATGGACTGGTGTCATTTTTTCAAGATGTTTTAATCAGCTGTTTGAACTCTCATTCTGACGGCACCCATTCACTACAGAGGATCCATTGGTGAGCAAGTGATGTAATGCTATATTTCACTGAATCTGTTCTGATAAAGAAACAAACTCATCTTTATCTTGGATGGCTTGAGGGTGAGTACATTTTCAGCAAATGTTCATTTTTGGATGAACTATTCATTTAATAAGAACTTGCATACAAGTGTATTAGCCTAGAATTATAACACTCAGTTCTAAGTTAATGCTGCATAAATCAAATTCCAAAAAAAATCAAAATACAGAGTGTTTTGTGGCTCCAGAAAGGCTCAAGACCATGGCAGCAGACAGCAGCCCTAATCCTCCACTGGATGCAGTCCTATCTGTCCTGCTCCATCCAGCCTCATTGTCTTAGCTTATCTCAGTCTCTCGTCCAAGCCAGGCAGTTGCAGGACGCTCCAAGGCCCCCAGAAGATGCTCCTCATTGTGGGTTTATTATTTTCTGGATTGTGCAGAAGCCTGTCGGGAGTTTGCTTTTCTAATTTGGCTGGTTAACGACTGTTTGTTGAGCACCACTGGAAACGGAGACGGCAAGACATGGACAAAATGGATATTTGGATGGTCCGTGTGCCCTGGCAACCGCAGAAACCTCTTGAGGAGGAATTGGATTTTTAACCCGACCTTTATCTCTCTCTCTCTCAGTTTATCACATGCAAATTTCCCCCTGCTTTAAGGCTCTTGACAGCCACCAGCTCTCCGCCAATCCCTCGTTCCTTGGCTTTCGTTTGTTTTCGTTTGTATCCCTGGCCTCCATGCTCCCTCGAGTCCCGTCGATCCACTCGGTGTGTTTGTTTAAAAAGAGACTCTGCAGTCAGGCTGGAATCTGACAGTGTTCATTATGAACTTGAACAGTGTGTTAACCTGACTCACATCAAAATTAAATTCCACAGGTTGGGTTTCTTACAGACTCAATTCCAGCTGTTCAGCTCAACCACATCACAATCCTAATCAAGGGCATCTATATAAAGCTGTCGAATTTAAGGATTGAGAACTTTCTAATGAGCCCACAAGCGCTTAAACACATGCAGTAATCCATACGTCAAAATAATCATCCATCACTGTAAATCTACAATGCTTTGCATGATGTAAAATCTTCTCAAATAACTCAAGTCACTTACTGCTTCGCAAATATACTGTTTTCAATATTACAATTTAGTTTCTGTAATTAATTCAGCACAAAATGATTTAATTTTAAACTCCAAAACTTTAATGGATCATTTCAGCCTTATTTCAGTTTTTGCAAACTTCACACTTTTGACATTTTGAAATTAAAGATCTGAAGATTTGTTTCAACTGACTTAGGGATGGAGTATACCACAGAAATTTAAAAATCTGAACAGATTTTAAAACACTAGGCATCATACGCTTGCCGAATTTGTAAATAATGGTTACAGAGAAAAACTTGACAACATACACAAAACAACTGAGGATCACACTATCAGACTTTCAAGTCATTCCGAACACAACAAACTCATGTACAAACATGTGCCTCGCGGCTAGAAGACCTGACAAATGAAAACAATGTTTTCTAAAACCAGCTCAAAATCTTAAAAATGTTTAAAATCCTCCAACTGGATGGAATCACAGTCTGAAGCTAAAAAATGAGATTCTGCACCCATCATACACTACTATTAATCTATTAACTCTGACAAAAATCTGCAGTCTGGTTCTGACCTTCGCCAACTAGCGTTGACGTGTCCAAACTAAAATGAAAAAACAAGGCAAAAATCTGGGCAAAGGATGTATATTCCTGCCTTTATACTGCTGTTAGTCAGATTTTAAATGCTGAACGTTCTAAGAATGATGTCATGTTTGAATTTCAATTGGTCTTTTTGCTTATATATCTATTTGCATATTGGATTTTGATTGGTGTTTTCTTTCTTGAATCTCTTGAACCATCTAAGCTGCATTTACATAGTAAAGACAGTGGCACATCGAGGCTCTGAATATGAAAGCAAACACACACACACAAGAGACTGTACCTGTCCTCAGCTGTCAGTGAGGGTCTGTGCAAACTCAAAACTGGGAGGGTGAAGACACCTGTGTGTAGTCACTTGTACACAATTACCCTCTTTCAGTCTTCTGTTAACCCTGATAACACACTCATCCTGCCTCAACAAGACCTTGTGTTCTGCAATAGGACAGAGAGAGAAAAAGAGAGAATGGGACACAGAGAGCAGTATTAAAAATGTACTTTTTAGGGGCAATATTTGCCACCTGAAATGATAAAAAGTGAGGTGCTTTTTTAACCTTTTTAGAGATTTATATTCATTTCAAAATGTATAAATGTATATCACACAGTGTATTTATTTCAGTTATTTAATTCAGTTATTTTAATAAATTCTAGAATTGAACAATTTAGACTGTTGCCTATAAAAAAAATTAATGTAAATGCACAGAAATATATAAATTCCAGGGTTATTATAATTAACTAAAACTTGTTACTTGAAGTAAAACAATCTTTAACTGATTTTTTTTTTAATCAACATTTTATTTTTGCTAGTTGCCAAGGCAACATTTCTCATTTTCATTTAGTTTAACTTGATGTACTAAAATAACTAAAATAAAAATTAATAAAAATAACTATATAGACAAAATACAACACATTTACTAAAACTTTAGCTAACATTAAAATGAAAACCATTATAAAAACATATAAAAGTTTCTCAATTGTAATTGATATATTCTAACATAATTACACCTTTATCCAAGAAAAATCACTTAAATTAATAATCCATTTATGTATTTTACATTATAATACAGAGCCCTATACTGTCTAACATCACCATACATTTTGATTTCATTATATAATCATAATAATTATAATTACTGTTTTAAGCTTTGCTGTTGTTGGGTGTGGTTTCTTAATGTTATTATTTTTTTCAGAGCTGATTTAGTTTTATCTTCATCAAATAGCTCCACATTCAACAACCCACCTCTGAAACAGTGAATACAGAGATCAAAGTTCACTACAGGATCTGTAGAGATGGCTAATGAAATATGCTAAAATTAAATATAAAAAAAAAAGTCTAATGTTTTAAATATACTGATCCTGGTAGATAAAGTAGCAAAAGGCTGATAAAAATCTAGGTAAAATAAGGAAAAGGTATTTGAGACAGGTAAATGCATCCAGC